ATATATAAATAAAAGTGAAGAAAATCTCAAAACCGCATAAAAAAATGTTGTACCAGAAAATGTACTAAAGTCTATGATAATTATAATTTTTTCCTTATGTTGATTATTGCAACACATAAAATTTTGTATTATTTTTTTTTTTTTATCTTTGAAGAACATTTCGAAAAACTGCACAATTTAAATATGCCTACAAAATGTTTTTAAAATTCAAAGACTATATATTTAGAATATTCAAGCCAAATTTGATTGAAAACTCAAAAATCCTATGCACGTATTGCGTAAATAAAGTGTTCCTTATTGTACCTCTGTACATCGTGGCAACTGTCTTGCTGACAAAGCGGATGCCTCTGTTGGTCCTTCTTTATGAGAATCGCATAGAAAGGCGACAGTTAACAGTAAAGATAAGAGTAAGAAAACGTAAGGAAGAGAGAAAGAGTGCGAACTACTCAGACATAGGCAAAGACAGTTTGTAGTTATATTTAGGCATAAAATGCATCCTGTGCCCGCTCTCAACATGCAGCTAAAACAATTTGACTCCAATTGAACAACAAAACATTCAAAGTCCTTTATTAGCTTGTTTTTGTTTTTTGTTTCTCGTGCGTGTGCATGTGTGTGTTAAGCAAAATCATTTAAATTTAATACATTTGTTACATTGGCATTAAACTGGAAGCGACAAATTTCAATTGAAAAACAAACAAAAAAAATACTTAAACAGCCCGAAACAATGCGGGCCGATATATATGTTATTTGTGGCATTGTTTTCGTTTCGTTATTCTAATATATTTATTCATAAATTTATTTCAGCTGCCAAACAATGATTTCAGTACGTGCACATACATATGTATATATATATTTAAATATCGTATCGAGTGAGATAGTAAGACAAAAGATAGAGAGAGGGAGAGTGAGAGTGAGAGAGAGAGAGATTGTTGCAAGAGAATTTAAATGCAGTTTGGAAATGTTTGCGTTAAGGCTATAGAACAAAGTACATTATACGTTTTGTTATTAGGCCATAAAAAAAACTAAGTTCATCACGATATATGTGAAACCGTACACACATACATATACAACATATATACTCATAGTTAAGCCTGAAACCAACATATTTGTTGGCTTTTATCTATATTTTATCTGCTGTCATTGTTGTCAAAATGTTGCTTAACTAATTTGCAACTTGCTAAGAAATACAGAAGGCAAACATTTGCTTGTTGTTTGTTATTGCTGTGCTAGAAACTGGCGTGGAATTATATGATATACTATTCCTAATATACATAAAGTGATTAATGCTTATCGTGTTGATTGAATTTCAGTAAATCGTTGAACATCTCGAATATACTTGTTAAGTCTGCTACATTCGTTGGCTCTAGGTACAATAAAGTTAATATTTAATTACGAATTTATATAAGTTGGCATACACTTATGCATATGTTTGTTTAATTGTTTGTTTGTTTCTTTAACGTTATATTGTGATTTGCTAAAGCTTTTTGTCGTTGTCGCAGAATTGTTGCTCTGTTGCTTTTGACTTGTTAACATTTGCGTTTCGAACTATTCATAAGTTTAATATACACATATTTGACACTTTCCATTATATACCATATGTAAGCATATATGCACGTATATATATATATTTACGTTATACAGTAGCGTGTGATTTATATATATATATATATTTATATAAAGTTTAAAGCTTCTTGTATGAAATGCCGCACAGCGCATTTGTTTATGTTTATCTATTTTCTCATCATCATTTCAATTATTTTCGTTTTGTTATTTTCACATGTATCTTAATTAACATACGCAGGGGGTAGGGGGGGGAGGGCATGAAATACACGTAAAATTTAAATAGACTAAACTGTTACGCTTGTCAATACAGTTCACCTATGCTTACACACTAAGTATTTAATTATATATTGCAATATACAATTAGTTAAAAAAAAAACCTTTAAAAATTTTATAGAACATTTTGTGATGCATTTCATAATTGTTCTGTTGTTGGCACTAATGTTTCGAGCGACGAAAATTTACACAAAAAAAAAAAAAAACAAACAAATTATAAAAATAATTAATTTAAAATGATTTTGTATATGTATATTTGAACTAAGTGCAACAGATATTGCTTTCTCAGCATCATGTTCATCTTGTTGTTGCCTGTCTAACAGATGTTATTGTTATTGTTGGGGTTGTTGTTGTTATTATTGTAGTTGGGAATCGTCTGCTCATTTGTCGCTTGTAGAGCTACAGGTGTTTCAGAAATGGCCGCCGTTGGAGTGCTCGCTTTAGGTGCGAAGTAAACCTCATAGTTGTAATATCAAAGCTCGTCGCTAGTGACTGGATGCTCCTGAACGTACTCCTTGGGAAAGTATCCGACCTGTGTATGAGCAAGCATTATAAATATAGCAATCTAGCTTTGATCTACAAATGGAGCTACACACCGTATCACCAATCTTGCCGCGCCACCAGCCTTTGCTGTCGCCATCCTTGCCAATCACAAGCACCTGAGAATTGGTGCGCAGTTGCAGCTGATTGCTGCCAGCCTTCGGATCGAAGTCGTACAGCGCGGTGGCAATGACCTCGCGGAAGGGCCATTGCAACGACTGATTGAGTCTGTTAACAGAAAGATTATGTGGTCAGTAACTGCACAACGGCGAGGCTGTTTTTTTTAGGTCCATCACTTACCCGGCAAAGTTTTCACCCAGATCGTTGCGCTCATAATACGAAACAAGCTCAACGATGGTCTTGAAATGGCGGCGCGAGGATAAACAATAGAGCATGGATTCGCCATCGTTTTCCTGATTGATTTTCATATGCTTAATCACATGATCATCGGTTCTGCATGAAAACAGAAAGAGAGATAGAAAGAGAGAGAGAGAGAGAGAAACGATTTAGATAGTTTCAATTGTTTGGTTTCTGTGGGATTGCACTCACTTCAAACTGAGCGCGTACATGGTCTCGTGGGGCGAGGAGGCACCTTGGGGACGTACACGTAGCAGATAGGTGCCAATGCGGCGATTTTCCAGTCGATTGGCCGCCGTTTCCCGATCCATATTGCCCACAAACCAGTTGAACTCTGACAACTGGCGGTCGCACACTGGCGGCGGTATGCTGATCGGATTCTGTTTGCAACGGCCCGTGGAGGAGATGCAGCCCCTGTGCACACTTATCTGGCACACCTTGCAGCGATAGCCCTGGTGTATGCGGCCCTTAAGAAACTTGGAGCAATGCCGGCAAGTTGTGGGCGCATCAAAGGTGTAGATTTCCATTTTGTGATCCGTATTGCGACAGCCAGGTGGATCGAGGCTTTCCCTGCAAAACAGTTAAAAGTTTAACAAAGTTCATGGCATCGAAGCTTCACAAGACACTTACATGGCTTCGGTGAGCGCCTTGCGCCATTTGTCGCGTTCATGCTCCGACTTCAAGTAAAGTGTGAATGCCGTCTTGGCGGATTTACGTGCCAACAGCAGCTGATATCTGAAGCGCGTATCCCGGCCGAGCGTGCGACGCGAGTGGCTCTGTTCCACGCGATAGTCGGCGAGGTTGTGCGAGTCGCGATATGTGTACTGCATGTCGCCGGTTTTAATGTGCAGCGGCTTGACCAATATTAGAATTTTGTCGAAGACAAACGCATAGCGCATCTTGGTCTTCTGATCTTCGTGGGCCTTGATGTGCAGATCGCCGTCGAGCAGCAGGCGGCCGTATTGCAGCAGATCGTTGCCGTTTTGCGGCAAATTCAAATCAAATATGCTGTCCTTGACCTTTTGTATGATGACAAGATGATCGGAATCGCGCTTAACCTCGTTAATATACTGCGACACATCGATCATCGCATCCTTGGCCCGTTCCAGCGAGCGGTAGTCCTCGTGCAATGGCGACGTCTCCTTCACCAACTTGTCCAGCAGCAGATGGTACTTGAGTATGCGCTGCATGGGCACCGACAGTATATCCCGCAGCTGCAGCTTGCCCACGTTGTATTCGCGTTCGCATTTCTGGACCAGCTGGTCTATGATTTGGTTTTTCTTGCACACATCGGCTAGGTAATCAATGGCGTTCAGCAGGCAGGAGCAGTATTCGCCGTAGATGAGGAATGGCTCGCGAAACTCAAGGAATACCTGACCCATCTTAAGCTTTGTGCTGGGCACCAGCGATTCGCGTAGCTTCTCTAAAAACTTGGTGTGAATGTCAGCTAGTTCCTGGAAATGCATAAAACAAAAAGTTAGCTATGTGTGTAGGTGTTGTATAAGAGGTGTGTATCCCAGCTTCCGTGCTCACCCGTATGCGGGGAAAAATGAGTCGCAGTTCATCCTGATTGAGATGTCGCTCCAGAGGTAGCATAAACTTGACCTTGAGTGCATTGAGCACGTCCAGATAATTGGATTCCGTATCGATGAGTTCGCGTATGACATAGTCCCGCTGCTCAAAGCTGGTCGCCGATGTGGTCTACATTAACAGGAAGAGATGTGCAGCAGTTAGTCGATCTGAGCTGAGCTTAGGCAGCAGCCTCGTCACAGAGTCATGCAACTAAGCATAGCTTAACATTGTTTGGCAGGCTTTAAGAAATGTACAAAGTTTAACCAAATTACTACCTGGCCTTTACTCGTTCTGTGCAGTGCGCACAAATCTTGATAGACCTCCTCTTCTTTTGTGTTGGTGTGATCATATACGGTTCCATTGCATGCAATATTGTCGGTGGTACTAAATGAAAAACAAAAACAAAAGTAAAATAAATCAAAGCAAAAAACAAATACCGAAAGCAAGACTGTAAAAATATAAGATTACAAACTTTTTTTTTTTAATTTAAATTAAAATAATTTGGCGCGCAAGACTATAAACTGTCTTAAAACTTGTGTTTATCGATATGTCGATAGGCAAAGATTGTGCCTCATCATTCAACAGACGACTAACACGCCAGCATTGCCAATAACAGAAGCCTGTTAACTTAACATACAGCTAACAGAACCAGGGCAGGCGGGCAACAGCAGCAGCAGCAGAGCTAACAGCAGCAGCCAAGCATCCAATTTCCATTCATTTTTTTTTTGTTCGTTAATTTCGCTGTGCACGTGCGTTGAAAGCATTTTCAGCCGCAAACTGCGCAATGGATCATCACACATATGCAAAAAGTGGCTCCAAAAAGTGTAAGTAATGCGCATGCATTTGCTCAGCAAGATATGGAGGCTGTCACTCGAAATTTGCAGGGTCTGTGGAGGAGAAGCGTCTGCTTGTCACAAAACGCATCGAAGCTGAAGATTTATTCGCCAAATACTCGTCCAAGCAAGCGGAGCCATGGAAGTAAGTGCATTTGGTTTTTTTCTCATATCAAATATATGTATATATATGGAGTGCGTGGCTGTTGCCTGTGTGTTGCAGAAAGTTCAAGGACATGGCCAAAATTGGCGACTACAGCGAACGGGCGCTGCGCAAACAGTGGCTGAACATGGTCCAGCGCTATCGCGTCCAGAAGTCCAATATGCAGGCGACGCCGCTCAACAAGCAATGCATAGATGTGCTCAACGAGGAATGGGAGTTCTTTGGGGAGATACACGCGTACATGAACCAAAAGACCACCGACCTGCACTCGTATGCGCTCAAGGAGCCCAACGTCCAGGAGCACGCGCACATCAACAATGTGGCCATTCGTGGCGTTGTCAATGATCACAACTTTGGTGCAGCGATAGCGGCGCCAAACAGCGCTCGCAAACAGATACGTAGCCAGTTGCAGTCGGTTGAGGCTGCGGTCGATGTGGAGCTCGATTATGCACTTGCTATGCCAGATGAGCAGCAGCAGCAGCAGCACGAGGAGCTGGACAAGAGCTGTGATGCAATCCTAATTGGCAAGCAAGTGCGACAGCTGTCAAATAGGCGCTACGGCGAGGGCTCTCCATCGGACATATACACTGACTCGGATTCAGAGGAGAGCTCGCAGCCCTCCGATCCGGTAGCCGTTGAGGTGTCCGACTTATCGGAGGCGGAGTCTATTTTGGGCTCGCCCTTGCCAGCGAAATCAGCCTCGGATATATGCGAGACAACCGCTGTGGAGCAGTTAACCGCTAACTACGAGTCTGCATCAGGATCAGTGCCGCTCGACGATGGCGAGCGAGCCAAGTCGTCAAGCTGGTCAGGATCAGCAACGCTGACGGCCAGGCCGTTGTCGTCAAACAGAAAGCGCAAGGCGTTGACCGAAAGGGAAAAATATTACAGACATCGCCGCCGCTACGAGCATCGCATGGAGCTGCGTCTCGGCGGCCTATGCAAAGTGGCCGGCCAGCTGTTGGAGCAGCTGGTGCCCGGCGCGAATGTGACGCCGCTGCTGATGAACATCTTCAACACCGTTGACTACAACTGCAACAGCAGCTGTGACGACGACGATGACACCGATGAGGATGACATTGGCCAGCCATGAGGCGGCTGATTCGGGAGTTTGGATGGAAGCTTAAGATGCTGAACATCATGTTCCTCTAAAAATGAATCATATATTGCTTTATTTACACGCACACACACACACACACACTATATATATATATATATATATATATATATATACACACACACACACACACGATCCTGGCTGTTATTTCCGTAAGGCGAACACACACAACACAAGACACAGGCACGACAGGTAAAAGCATGAACTGTATTTAAAGAAAAGACTTGAAAAGCATGAAACGCTATAAGCTCTAGATAGTTCAAAATATGATCTCCCTAAGATCATAAAGAATTATTGTAGATACTCGCTTATTGTTATTGAAAGGCAAATAAAAAATAACACACACGAACATACTATAAAAAAAAAGAAGTTATATATATATATATATATATATATATATATGTTATATATGTAATTATTGGCAACGGATTGAAAAAAGCAGAAAGCAAAAGGCAATGTGTGGAAAGTTGAGGGATTAAAATTTTGACTATTACAATGTTACACCCACATTAACAAATGCTATTCTATTGTTTACATGTATAATATGCTATATATTCTTGATCAGACGATTCGCTCAGTTTAAAAGTAGCTTGTAATTGGAAAATGTCTGATCACTAAAAATTATATTTTGTTTAAATCGCAAAAATTATAGTTTTTGAAGCAACAAGCAAACTTTTAAAGAACAGCACTGGCTTCTAAAGCCTATTACATTATCAACAAGTTTATAATCTAGAATGTAATTTGAACCTGAATTCCTGACTTTAGTCTCCCGCATGATCGAGTCGTGCGCTAGGCCCATGAAATATGATATGTATTAGGGCTTCAACTTGTTCTATATAAGGCTACTTCATGGTGCCTACCCGTAAAAAAAACCTAATATTATACATATACATATATATCTGTCTAATTAAAAATGTGTTGAAAATATAAACAACATTCGGTTTGAAAAAGGCGTCTTTTCTGAAGAACATCTTCAGCAATGGGGAAACACAAGACTTGGCCTGAGTTTACAGTAGACACGTAGAATATTAAAATATAGAACTTAAAGTCCCAACATGCTAAGTTCGAGTTAATTATTGATCTGGACAGAATCATATGGTGCTTAAAGCCCTAACACTGGTTCTGGATCTGATCTGGAGCTGTCAGTCAAGTGGGGTTATAAAATATATAACATTCAGTTAGGGAAATTATGGGGGAACTTTGGGGTTTCCTTTGCAATTTCAAATCGGAGAACTGGCAATTTAATCAAATAGCATAGCCAGGTGCATAGATAATGCAGATAGGAACGTATTATGAAAACATGCTTGGTTTGGAGATACCCATTTGGTTGAGCTGTTATCTGAAGAGCTGGCTAACAAAAGGCCCCCAAAAAGTTTGGATCGATATCAATTTAGCGGTAGCTTGTCTGCATGTCTGCATCGCCGGCATGAATCAGTAGTTCGTGTCTGGCATATATCTGCGCTATAATACATATAAGCCCGAAACTAATGGCATTTGCGAATTTGTCAGTTTTGTCAGACAACGGTTACGATTAAAAAGTAAAAAAATAAAAAAACAAATAAAAAATGTTGCCATTTCCGTTTGTCCAATTGGCATTGCATTTTATGGTATGTGGGCGACGCGCACTTCAGGTGTCTGTTCGGAGTGCGGAGCTTACAACGGGAATAAAGAAAGAGTGGGCTGGCGGTAGGGTGGAAGGTAAAGAGAGTGAGAGAGAGAAAGAGATAACGTAACAGAAAGCAAATACAAAGAAAGAATGCACACACATAATCCGACATAGAAACGCATGAGTTGCAGTGCAGGTGGTTGGTGGTGCGATAGCATGTTGTAGGTGAGAGATGTGAGGCGGGGAAGAGGGTTGCGTGTACGTGTGTGTGTGGATTAAGTATAGCCAGTAGTGATAGCTGTGAGAGTGGTGCTGGGCAGCTGTGAAGCAGTTAGCCAGTTGCAGCATACATACATACGAGTAGAGTCAAGGTTGCAAGTACAAACAAGCGGTTGGCTGTTCGGATTGTGGTTTGGTGGTGTTTGGTTTTACAGAGAACGAGTATATGGAGTTTGAAGGCAGCACACCTCTGGTTTGACCTTTGACTGGAACGTTACGTAGCAGAGATCCTCGTAGACCTTCTCGTCGTCTTCGCTGTAGATGTCGTTGATGTACGCGTACTCGTGCTCCGTGGACATCAGCACCGAGGATCGGTAGTTGTAGACGGCAGCAGCGGCTCGCTGCAACCGTTGGCTCTCGCTGACAAATAGCGATGATGATGAGGAGCTGCTGGACGCATGATGTTGCTTCTCGATGGCAGCTGTTGCCGCTGACGCTGCCGCGGCTGCTGCTGCGGATGTGCTCGCCTTGGGCGCATCCATTTGTGGTGTGGGCGTGACACAGTCAAAGCCATCGTTGCCGGCCACGCTCAGGTTAAGGTCTAGGGAGAGAGAGCGCAGCTGCCCCTGGACGGATTGATTGACGTCAACGATGCCACCAGCGGCATCATTGTCGATCGTTGTATCACACATGTTTGACAGCGAATCCTCGATATAGTCGTCAATGTCCTCGGTGCCATTCTCTATGGTTATATCGCTATTCTCATCCTCCACCGAGAGCGAACCGCTCTGCGAGGTGCGCTCGTAGTAATCCGAAGATGAAGACCCGGTTGCATCGATGCTTCCAGTTGCCTTCAATTCATTGCTGCCGGTTGAGGGTATGTGCAGGCGTGGTTGGGTGCGGGGGGCATTGTGACACACACACAAACACACACACACACACACGCAGACACACACACAGAGCGGACGTATAGCCAAGAAATGGGAGTGTTAGGCGACAATATGGTGAACATTTTTGGGGCAGCAAAAAGACAATGTATTGCAGGGGGAATGAGAAGGAGACAGTTCGGAACAGACAGCCGGAAAAGAAAAATAGGGAGAGAGAGAGAGCGGGAAAGAGAGAGAGATAGAGAGAGCGGGAGAGAGAGAGAGAGAAACAGCGTTAGATAAAGCTTGGATATGGATATTTGTTGATTTTGTTACTGTTGTTGTTTTTGATGTTGGTGTTGATGTTGGTGTTGGTGTTGATGTTGTTGTTGTTGTTGCTGTTGCTGATAAGCAGGCAGACAAGGGCTTAAGCGGGTCTCGGGTATGTGGGTTGGCATCGGGACACTGTCGGCCACGCGAGCGCATAATGAGACAGCGCCCGAGCAAACATCTCAAACAGGAAATGCAAACAGAACATTTCAATTGGATTGGCTAAAGAATGGGGCAGGAGGCAGGGTTAGGGGCGGGTTGGAAAGTCGGGGAAAGCACGCACTAAAGATTACACGCAATGCTCACGCTTCTGGCAAACTATAAACGTATAAACACTTACGTGGAATGCAGATCCTTATAGATGGCCTCATCCGAATGGGAACGCTCGCTGGGCGACAGCTGCAGATTGAAGCCGCTGCAAAATCACAAAAACACAATTTGTTTAGCGCTAATTGGCACCTTTGCATATGGCACGCCAATGGGGGTGTGTGATAGCAGATTGCGAGCCATGAGCTCATCCAATTTGACCCCAAAGCCATCAACTAACTAACTGCATCACACGCCCCATTGCAGTCGGAGAGTATAGCTGTGGCACTTACAGCAGCTCCGGATGCATTTGCTGCACCTTGCGACACTGCGACAGCTTGGAGAGGGTGATGAGCACGCGATGGAAGTTGGTTAGATCGTATAGCATGGTGGGCTCAAACAGGTCCGCATCACGTATATTGAAATGATTGTGGCACACGTCTAGAAACAGCTTGATGTTCTTGCAGCATAGAAACTGAAAGCGAGACACGGCACATTATAACGTTTGCTTCGTTAGCTCTGGGCAGGGCTCACCTGGGCCATTTGGGGCTTGCGATTGAACTCGCGCGCGTCCATGCTGCTGGGATCCAGGTGTATGACCAGATTGCAGAGCAGCACACCGTCGCGCAGTGTCATGGCCAGTATGCGTATCTCGGCGTCGGGCAGTGCGGCCTTGTGGTCGGCGGGTATAACCTTGCAGCGGACCAGCCAGGCAACGCATTCGCGCCACAAATCACCGTTAACCGCTGCCGCTGCTGCGGCTGCGGCCGCCGCGGAGGCCGAGGTTATCGCAGCTGCAGCTGCAGCACCGCTGCCAAAGCTGTTGGAGGACATATTTTTATTTTGTTTTCCGGGGCACTGCAGATCCGGGTCTGTGGGGCGTGTGTCCGTGTATGCGTGCGTGTATAGCTACTGCTATTGCTGCTGTTCGCCTTTTGGTAAAGGCTGGGGCGGATTGGGTAACGGTGACGGTAATGGTAACGGTGGCGGGGCGTCGTTTGGGGCGGGCGGCGCGCGCATAAATTTGGTTTTCTTTATTCTGTTTTCAGTTCCGTTTAATGAAAACAATTGAAATTCATCAGTTGGCCGTTGCGCGTTGCCGTCAACAGATACACAGCGACAACAACAACAACAAAAACATTAAGGCAATATAGCGACAACACCGACAACACCGACAACAACGACAACGACGGCGACAGCAACAGCAACGGGAAATCGCACTAGAAACAACAATTATTTAGGGCGAACGCCAGCGGTCGGACGCTCGTTTGATTTATTCTCTATATTCAATTGATATTTGCTATTCCACACTTAATAGATTGCACGGAGGCGCTTACACACACACACGCACGCACATGCACGCACACACACGCGCTCAGCCACACGTATACGCGCACACAGCTGAAGAGGATGCGTATTCGACTGTTAGCATCGATAGGCGTTCGCAGTTATCGATATATTTAGATATTTGCTGCGCTTACAGTTGCATCAAATAAACTCTCTTGGTAAAGTTGCACCTCCTAATGCATTAAACAATAAAAGAAATTTACGCTTTTAATAAAATAAAATCATTTCGTTAATAGCTTAACAAACAAGACTGTTAGCCAGCACATCCGCTGTTAAGCCCGATGACACCGTTTAGCTCAAAATGGTTCTGCAATGCGCTAAAATATCGATTACATTATATCGATTAAATGTAAGAGCTGTGCACATGGCCGCATTTCCGATTTTCGCGCTTTGTTTAAACTTTAATTCATAATGACTGTCGGCTATCAATTGGGCGGTA